GGTTACACAATCTTTTTTAGAACCTCTAAATAGAAAACGTGATTAACAGTCTGACGTGGTGGAATGAACTTCAAGTGCACTATCCCCCTCACACCAAAAAAAACCAAATAAGCATCATTTGGTGACGATCGTGTCTTCCACTGGCTTGATTGATGTTTGCTTTCGGAGTCATAGGAATAGTACCGTGTCTGGTCACCAGTAATGACCTTGGGGGTGGGGGGCGGAGTCTGGGTCACTTCAGAGCTGTTCTTTCAAAGCACAGCATGTTTCCAGTCGAGGTACTTTTTGCTGCTCAGTCAGAACCCAAGACACAAATTTCACAGTGACTCTTCTAATTCCTAAACCTTCTGTGAAAATTCACTGAGCCAAACTCCAAGATGGTCCAGAGAACTTCCTCATCTCTTCAATAGTCCATCATCAGTCTTCAAGTACAAGTCTACGAATTCTGTTGACCTTTTCGTCCATTCAGGAAGTTGACAGATGTCCACACTGAGGTTTGTCATTAATCAACATTGCACCTTTCTTGAAATGAGAAAACCACTTGTACACTTGAGTTTTTCCCATAGCTCTGTCCTTGTAAGCTATGTTCAACAACACAACAGTTTCTGTGGCATTTTTCCAGAGCAGGAAACACAATTTCACAGCCGCACACTGTTCTCTGAAATCGGCCATCACAAAAAAACGAGGTTCAAGTAAACCTGCTTTTATGAAAAAAATGCACTGTGACCAGAGAGAACCTTCCCAGTTAACGCCACTGGATGCACTAGCTCTGAGGGAGTGGCTCTGTGCTCGCCCAACAGAGAAAAATGCGTACTGCGAAAGCTCTTCCAAGCAGAGCTTTTTCCATTTTGGTGGAGTGCTCCCTCGTATCTACTCTGATCAAAGTTCTTGGCAGGCGGCACTTCGGGAAAGAAAGATTGAGAAAGGATCCTTAAAAAAACAAACAAACAAATCGACTGACATAGAGCCGATACTGACTCACAGCAACCCAATAGGGCAGGGTAGAACTGCTCCTGGGTTTCCAGGACTGTAACTCTTTACAGGAGTAGAAAACCTTGACTAGTTCCTAAGGAGCAGCTGGTGGTT